GAGAGAGAGAGAGAGAGAGAGAGAGAGAGAGAGAGAGAGAGAGAGAGAACCGGTCATCACGGGATGATCGATCGGATCGGTCAGTCAGTCAAATTGAGTCAATCAATCAAATTAAATTGAATTGATCATATAATCTATTAATCATTGGTTTTTCTTTTTTTTTTCTTTTTTTTTTTTTCCAATGAGGAGGGGGAAGAGAACCCCTCCTGCAATACAGAAAACAGAAAACGAACGGCGTTTTGGCGTTCGGCCTGTCTCGTTCGGGCCGGGCATAACAGTGGTAACCCTGAGTATGGTAATTTTAGTATGTGGTGGGCTGGCTGTTTCTGATGACTATTGGCTTTCCAAAGACAGGTATGGAGTGCAGCAGTATTTGATCAAGAAAATGGGGTTAATCATGAGAGGGAAGTGCTGAGCGGGCACGAGAAAGAAGTAAACCATGTGCAGTTTAGGTGAGGTAATCAGACGATGATTGAAAAGCATTCTCAGACCCAAACTGTTGTGAGAGGCAAGTTGGAATTTTCTGGTGTTTGTGGAGGCTGATAAGTGATGTCGATATGCATTGAGAATGTGCAAGGACAGGTGAGTGTTTGGGCCAAGCTACTTGAGAAGGATTTGTCATGACAATTGAAACAGATAACACTGTTGTCTTCAATTGATGAGCCGTATCTTGGTGCAAGAAAACAGGAAAACTTGTAACATTCATGCAAGGAATCGATACCCAAAGATACTGAGAAAATGAAACTCAAATCACAAGCACATGGCACTCCCAGAGACCAGAATGGACTGAACAACAGGTCATTATTCGGCATGTACGTACAGCTATGGGTCCACCCTGATGGATTGCTTTGCATGGGTGTCTTTGATAAAGCAGCTACCTGGGACATCGCTGTTATTGTTGCCCAGGTGCAACCTCCAATCAACCAGCTGATATGTTCACTCTGCAAATTGACCCGATTTGTACAAATCTTGAAATCTGTAACGATTGGAGGGACTTTCAAACTGCGGCAACAACACTTACTCGCTGCATGTTTTCTCGAGGACATCCCCAATCAACCTTGTTAAGGCCTGCATCTGCTACGTGCGCTCCTGCCACCACTGCTATCCTATGGATGTGATGCGCCTTTCTATGTGGTTCCAATGCATGCTACGGTCGTCCCTGCATCATCCGTTTATTCCTTGGCCAGCCAAAATAGGTGACAAAAGGCAGACAAAAGCTCAGTGTCTGCACTCCTCTCTATGTCTGTCCTGTCCCTGCTCTCTCTCTCTGTATATCCTGGCAGGGTCCTACACGGGCCCATAGGCCCGTAGGTCCTTTTTCTAGCCCTCAGGTCACGCAGCTCCCCTGAGCGTGCGACCTGGTGGGCCACGGCCACTATTTTGGACCAGGGTCACATTTTTGTCCTGTCTGCTTCTCGTTTATTCAGCATTGTGATTTTTTTACGTCGTCATCTTATTTCTGATGTGTTGAGTTCGGGCTGAGATTCGTTTGCCCTATTTTTGTCTGGTGACTCTGGTCCATTTTTGGTTTTGTTCCGGACTTTCGTTTGTCCGGACAGGCCAGTGCCTGTTCGGACCAGTGGATTTCGGTTGAGGCCGAGTTTAGGCCAGGTTCAGTTCCGTGCTGTAGTAGACCAGGACCAGGCGGTCGTCTTTTCCCCCTGGCCCAGTCCAGTTGCCAGCAGTGTCTGCAGAGGCCCTGGATGTCCTGTAGGGGACCCAGGGAGGCCATTTTTTCGTCCTGGCACACAGGACCAGGACTTGGGCCTGAGATCAGGACTGTCAATTTGATCTTCGATCGCACGGCCCTGGTCACAGACCACAGCCACTCCAGTCAGGCCCAGAGGTATATAGCTGGGCCAGCACCTAGCGTCAGCACATTCGGCTAGACTGGTGCTTCAAGCATCATGGTGCTGGAGCAGCAGTAGGATCAGCTGCACGACATTGGAGTGGAGTAGAGAAGTAGGAGGCGGTAGGGGAGCGGAGCCCGGAGAACCTTGTCCGCTGTAGGGGATGAGCACTTATCTGATTTGACATTGGGGAACCGATGGTTTTGGACATTTGACGGGATACCATTTTTGGGACGTCTACGAGTTATATTCTCGTCTCCTCTCCCTACTCCACCTTTGTTTCACCTCCCCCATCATCATCCGCGGGTTCTTCCCCATGTGTACGTGTGTGCAAGGAGGGACCTTTCTTCCATGTATGATCCCCTCCTTGCAGTGCGACATGTATGATGATGTATGCGAGAATCGAGTCCGAGTCTGATGAGTCAGGTCGTTTTTCTTGAGTCTTCCACTGTGCTGCATTGTGTTATTTCATTGCATTTCTGGATGCACCTTGCTTCCTGACGTTCACATTTTGGGTGATTGTCTCGCTGGGTGCACATTGCTCATGTTGATGCTTGCATTGTGTGTCTGGGACATTTGTAACATCCCTCACCCATCAGGTGAGCATGCATCTCTCTCTCTCTCTCTCTTTTACATGCTCTTTTTCCTGTAAACAGTATCACCTCGCCTTCCCTCTCTCCCCCTATCGCTTCCCCAATCTCCCCCCTCTTTCCTCTTTTTCCATCTCCACCTTCAACCTCTCTGAATCCTGCTGTCTCTCTCCTCCATCACTCTGTTTCTGACCACTCTCTCTGGTTGACACCACTCTCTCACCCTCTGCCTTTCTCTCCCTCTTACTGTAGCTGTCTTTGTCTCTCTCCCTCGCTCGCTGTTTCCTCCCCTCTCTGTCTCTCTATCAATCTCTCTCTCTCCCCCCTCCTCTCTCTCTCTCTCTCTACCTCTCTACCTCTCTCTCTCTCTCTGTCTCTCTCTGTCTCTCTCTCTCTCTCTGTCTCTCTCTCTTTCTCGTCTCTCATCTCTCTCTCTCTCTCTCTCTGTCAGGAGAAAGGAATTGACATTGCTGATCACCACCCAGGTTATTAATCGAACATGGTTGGATCTGCTTTTGGGTACTCAGGAGGACACTGCCTTTTTGAAATTGCATGTCGTTCACTTTTACTGCTGGGTGAAGATTCTGGCCAATGCCAAGAAAGTGAAAAAGGCGAGTGCGTGGGGGAGAAAGATGGCAAGAGAGAGGTGACCGACCCAGGACAAGGAGAGGAGAGGATGGAAAAAGCGGATTGGTGGGGTAAAGATCGGGAGAGAAAGGAGGGCACAAGTTGTAAGATGGCATCGGGACAGGTGGAAGGGAGGAAATGGAGAAGGAAGAAAGGGACAAAGGCGAGCGGGTAGGGGAGAAACATATGAAGAGAGGTGACCAACACAGGGCAAGGAGAGAAGAGGATGGGAAAGAAGATTGGTGGGGGAAAGATCGGGAGGGGGAATGGAGGGCACAAGTTCTCAGACGCCATCGGGCAGGCGGAAGAGAGGTGATGGACAAGGAAGAAACAGAAAGTTGAGTAGGTTGGGAAAAATGAGGGTGAGAGATGAGAGGGAAGGGGAGGTGACAGAGGGTGTTTGGCTGTCACTAATGACCAGAGGCACCCCCCGAAGCAGGAGAGAGAGGGATGTTGAGGGGAGAATAGTGAGAGAACAGGAAGAGTGAGGGAGGAACAGATGGCGTGCTCACTGGTTCCCCCCATGTGCCTTTCTAAGTGCATGACTGCCTGAATGTGTGTGTGACCCGCCAGGGTACTTGTATGTTTGGGAGCCCCTCAGGGCCGGTACTTACCTGTGGCCATGACTTCGAGGGTTGCACCGGGGAAATCACTCAAGTGTCGTAGGCTAGCACTCAAGTAGCGGTAGTGTAGGCCCGCGTAGCTTAGGGTAGCACTTGAGTAGCAATAGGCCGGCAGAAGAAGACAACAAGTTAGTACCTTTCGAGGCTGTGTCAATTTAGGAAATGGTAGGCGTAGGTCTAGGCGGCTACCAGTCCAAGTAGCCTGAGTCTAGGGCCTGTAGCGGACAATATCAGACCTGACCTGCAATGATGTTTCCCTCAGAAAGGATGGTACCGGTTGCTTGGGAGGAAGCGCAGCTTGGAAGTCACCTCCCGAGAGGCAAGTTGGCCGGTATATCTCCAGGAAGAGCGCCTTGCTCTTCCTCATTTTGCGGCGTGCAAGGTTTGGCGTCACGCTGCTGGAGTGTTCAGCGGAGGAGCGCTGGTGTAGAGAGCGCTGGGAGGAGTGCCTGGCCTTCCACCGTCAGCTATGGTGGAAAGGACCAGGTAGGAGAAGGACAAAGAAGGGGTTTTGGAGGAGAGTGGTGGAGGTACTTACCTGAATATGGTGGACGTCACCTTCATCTCCTTGGTGGGCGCTGTACCTGGAAGGCCCCAGTGCGGGTGCACTGCATCAAGAAGGCTTCAGGGCAGAGTTAGTCATGGCGGTCTGAGCTGCAGAGGACATATTTTCGTTTGCGTTGTCTTTTGAACATCAGGGAAGGGCCCCAGTAGTCCGCCATAGCCACCACCAATCAGAGGTGGTTGTAGATGAAGGTCATGGCTATGGTGGACCTCTTGTACTGCTGGCTGTAAGAGAGAGATTCGAATACTGCTTCTGGTTCAGTTGTTCATTGTTATTGTAATTAGTTCTTGAAGAATAAGGTTGGGGAGATAAAAGAGAAGGAGTCAGTGGAGAGAGAATTGGTCTTTTGCTGGTGTACATCTTCTTCTTCTTTTTTCTTTCTTTCTTTCTTATGTCTTCTTCTTCCTTTCGTCTCTCTCTTTCCAAGTTCTTTCATTTCTTTTGCAATTGAACGGCATTGTCTTTCCTTGTGTTATTGCGGTTCAGAATAGCCAGGATCATAACAGCTGTGCTACATTGCATTGTATCTTTCTGCCCGGATGCACAGTGCTTATTTGCTGATTGCATTGTTTGTCCTGAGCCCTATTCATCACATTGGTGCTCCTTCGGCTGTGCATCGCTCATCCTCAAATGAGCATGGATAACAGAGGGAGAGGGAGTCAGACTTGCGATATCACACATGCACCTGGGTGCCTGCTTCTGCAATCCATGGAGTGACACTTACAAGTTGCACATGTTACGGCATTTTAAGTTGCAAGCTATGTTCTAAGCATCATACATGCCTGTGCAATTTCCATTTTCTGATTTTTTTCTCTTTATTTTAGCATTGTAACCATCACCGTGAGCCCCAGGCAAATCGAAGGAGTGAGTTTGCATGCTGTGCGACTTTTGGATGAACAGTGCTACCTGCATTGAGCCTCACTGCTCGTTGGCTTGAGCACACACACACACACACACACAATGAGAGACTACACGAAGTCCACACTGGAGACCAGAGATGCAAAGTCCAGATAAGTGCAGCTTAGAATTTCCAACAAATTATCATATTAAGCAGTTACAGAGTTCCAGTCAGCAGCGCTCATCAGCGCAGAGTTCAGCAACCCAATTCCAGCAATCCTCATCCAAGGTAGGTGTTTCTCTCCTCTCTCTGTCCCCCTCTCTCTCTCGCTCGGCCTTCTTCATGCATGGACTCACTCTCTCTCTACTCTCACTCTCCCTACTTGAAGATCTTGACTCTGAATACATCCGCTATCACCTGACTACTAGCAGTGCTACTTGTCCACTATCTCCTACGACTAGCTATGCGGTTATGGCCGCCTTCCTTCCTCAACGCAGCGCTGCCCAGCAAGGCTCTCCCGCATGCTACTCGCAGATAGCGCAGAAGCAATTCAGCAGCACTTCCACACTTCTCACGAATGAGCAATCTCCCTCGATGTGGCTGGCCAGTCCTTATATTGACTTGGGGTGAGCCTGAACTCGTCCCAGCCTCTGCTTCCTTTGGCTTGATTTGGACCCGGTACCACATACCCACGGCCTGCTTGCTTCAGAATGTCAAGGCCTGGTACTTTCCCGAATTTTCATTGGTGTGCTGCTGCTTGGGTCTGTGAGTCACGACTTTTCACCTGTGAAACATGACTTCTGACTGTGGGATATGACTCTTGCCTCTGGGACACGACATTTGCCTGGAGAAGTGTCCTTTGCCTGTGGGATATGACTTTTCAATATGAGACGTGACTTTCGCTTATAGAATGCAACCTTTGCCTCTGGGATGCGACTGTTCACCGGGTGCCTGTTGGACTTGACTCCTAATGTACCCGACTGTGACCAACTTGGCCTCCCTTGGCCTCCCTTGGCCTGAGACCTTGACCCTGAAATTCGAATTTGGGGTCTGCATCGTGGAATGCCTTTCTTACCGTACCAAAATGGCTGGTGATACCAGCTGAAAGGAAAAAAACTTGAAAAAACATGCCGTGTGCCATTTTTTTTCTTTCTTTCCCGGGCACTCATCGTGATCTTGGATCAGTAAAAACAGCCTCGAACAGAGTGCTGGTTTAATGGGCCCTTATTGTCCTAGGCCTCCTGGCCGCATATCCCATAATACCCGTTCTGGGAGCAACAGTCTGGCTCCTTTCCAGCCTCAGCTCATAAAAAATACAGTATATGACACCCACACTTCTTCTGTTAGGCAGAAGGACCCCTGAACAGCATTGATTGCTCCAATTCATGGAACAATTTCCCTTGCTTCTTGTTTTTTTGTAGACATTGTTTCTCGGGCAGTTTTCATATATTTTCAACTCTATAATAGAAACCACGGATAAGTCTTTTCACCGCAGTTTTCGTATATTTTCAACTCTATAATAGAATCCACGGATAAGTCTTTTCACCGCAATCACAGTTTATGCAGCCTTAGTTCAAACTTCAAATTTCAGAGTCCAAACGAATATGTTTTTGTTTCACCACAATCACAGTTTATGCAGGTTAAAATGCATTGATTCATTGTTGGGGGTCCCACTTTGTGGATCCCATGTTTGGGGTCCCATTATGTGGGTCCCACCTATGTTGGGGGTCCCATTACGGGATGACCCATGTGTCACAGTTCCATTGCAATGTGTGTCCTTGTGGCAGTGGCTGCTCAGCCCCATTAAAGATCGCCAATGATGCGAATGAAGATTGGGTGGAAAACTCGGGTGATCCTACGCGAGTCAGGAGAGGAACAGGGTGAGTCCCCCTTCAACCTACCTCAACACTGAGTTTCTTTTGTATTTCCCTTGTTTGATTGTGTGCTATGAGTCTCACAGTCGACTTGAAATTGGCTGTTGGCTGTTATCATGTGTATGCGAATTGAAATTGGCTGTTATCATGTGTATGCGATATATACCCCCAGATTAGGTAGTGAAGCAGGAGGATACCAAAGTCACTGATTGGAGGACTGGGCTTGATACGTGCTTTCTTATGGTTCACTTGGATTGGATTTGAGTCATTTCGATTGGACTCTAATCCAGATAGAAGAGATCTTTACCGAGATGCAATACATCATTTTTATCCTGATTTGATTGGGTGCGAAACCAGCTTCCTTGAAACGGTTTTCACCTCTACGGTAGCAGATGCAGTCCCCAGGGCTCGATCCCTAGATCTCGCCCTCACTCGTGTACACTATTAGTTGACTCGTGTGAGCTTGAACCCGCGACCTGTGTCTTGAAAGTCGCCTGTTTGATTGCTCTAGGTAGTGCGGTCGTCGGGTCTTGAACCGTAGATCTGTAGATTAGCGGTGGTAGGAGTCGTAGCCGCTACAGTTCCGAAGAGTCAAGGTTGTTGCTGCTACAGTCCTGAAGGGTCACGTCCGCAGGCTTCTGGAAGATCCGGAAGTGGCCTTTCGTAGAGTCTTAGGATGTAGACTGTAAGCAAGTGGTCAAGTGGGCAGGCTCGCTTAACCTAGTCAGCAGTACCCAGTCGCAGTCACACTTTGTGTGTGCACCCCGGGCCCGACATTGGAGCGCAGGCCAACGAAGACCCGACGTAGGCAGCGTTCAGTCATGCATTTATTCTGCCTGTGAGCCGTGCGGAAGCGCTGTCGGAGCATCTTCTGTACGAAGGTCTGCAGGTGCCTGTAGGAGAAGAGGGCTACGAGGAGGAAGGCGGCCATAGCAGAGCTTGTTAGTAGGGAGGAGGAAGACGTCGGCCATAGCCGCCACGTCAGAGAGTGAGTAGCTGTTAGCGTGTGTGTGTGAGTAGAGTGAGCTTGTGTGTGTGTGCGGGACATCCAGGGAGATCCAGGGTGTGTGTACAAACAAGTTGTTGGGAATACGGCGTTCGGCCATAGGCGTACGGGACAAGTCGAATCTGAACTGTGTTCTTGGCTACGTTTAACTCTGACCTTTGTGTGGGCGCAAGTCGCCAGCTTGATCGTCATCTGTTTGTACGCATGCAGAGTGTCCGGAAAGATAAGTCTGATTGCATTCCTTATGCCTTGGATGGAATAGTCATGTATACCCCGGACGAACGAGGTCGGGGAGGGAGGTTGTAATAAAAGACGCATCGATGTTGGAGATCCAATGCATCATTACTGTAGTGGGAGGATGATAAATTGCAGATGGAAATGATGCTACTGGGCTTTGTGTTCATTCAACCTGGACCACTTTCTTGGTGGCAGAAACTGACTTGAAAGTTGAAGCATTAACAGTTGTTTAAGATCTGAAGGGCTGGGTGCCATCTCTCAATGCTCACTAACTTCAGAGACAGCTTGGACAGAAAAAGAAAACTAGGGACGTGAAGGCAGCTGGACGCAGAATCCAAGTTACATGTGAGAGTATGCCCTCAGCTGGTAGCGTTACAGCCCTGCTGTAATCATGGCATTA